TATTTGGTCTGATTTAAGTCTCGAGGCACAACGCTACAGACCCACGCAGCGTTCACAAACAAGACCGCGTTTTCCCGCACCAGCTGCGAACACTCCGCATGCGCAGACACCAAAATCCCGTTTCGGCACGCACAGTGCCGACAGCAGGGCCACGTTAGGAGCGTGACGTCAGCGAGTTGAGCTGGTCTATAGTAGGCTCCTTCTAACACAAATTATTCCTTAAGTACATCAGATTTAGCCTAATTATCACATCCGTTCAAATTGACTGGACAAGCACCACATTTGTTCTTGTCTAAGCTCTTCTGGGGAGAAAAATTGGTGTATATGTATGTGCCGTCCCACAATGCAACGCGCGCAGCGTTGCATTGTGGGACGGCACAGACCTATACACCAATTCAGTTTTCACCGCTAAACGTAGCGGGGAATTGAAACGGTGGATAGTTGGTCGACGTCCCATAATGCAACGCGCGCAACGTTGCATTATGGGACGCTTGGGCTCCCGTTCCCGCATATACTTGCTAGGCTGACGCTGACGGCGACGCCAACGCCAACGCCGCTATATGCGGAAAAGGGTGCTAAAGAGCTGCACTCTAAAAACAGCGAAACAGGGTGTGGTTCTCCTTAAAACGCGCTTTTTTTAGGATCTAAAACTTCAGAGTTAAGGCCCATGAAAGGGCTGTTCACGCAAGCTAGGGTACGCTCATACTTGTCTCGTGCGCGACTTTTGCCGAACGGAAGTGCTTGCTTCCGCTTCCGGTCCGCCTCGGAACTATTTCTGTCAGGGGGAATGAGCGACCGTCCGCTGGCGTCATTGGAACAAGCTCATGGCGGACAGACCGGCCAGGACGCAGCACATCACCCCCTCCGCTTGCTGTTAATCGAGGCCTCCGCGGCTGTTGTTGTCCTTCCCGAAAATTCCTGAAATCGAGAGAGGAGCAGACGACGGCGAGGAGGCGCCTCCTTCGCGTTTGACGTGCCACTAACGTCATGAGAAAGGCGTGCTGTTTCGCGCCCTGCGACTGGTTAAGCTCCTCGCAGAGATGATAAGCACGCACCCCGAAGCGGAGACAAATTTTAAAAAACCATACACAATCTGGTATTTTTTTTTTGTTCCCCCCCCCACCGTCTTTTCCCCCCGGCGACGGAGTCTATGATTTTCCTCTGGTCAAACCTAGTCGGCATTACCCCATAGAGCACCTGGCCCACTGGAAGGCAGGGTTGAGGACTGTGGGCCGGAACCACGAGGGAGGGAATCCCAATTTTCCTCAGCCCGTCTTGTGCCCAGCTGTGTCAGTTAGTTGTACGTCATTCAATTCTCCCTAGATAATTTCCATCAGTCTTCCAATCTCCTCTTTGTTATTAAAGTGCACATCATACATTCTTCCATTCTCGGTTGCAAACCACAGCGCTCCAGCTAAATCCGTCGCTCCCTCCGGTAGAGCGGGAGCTAACCCTGGGCACCTAAACACCACATGTTCTATTGTCTCGTCTTCCCCTTAGCATTCGGCAGATCGCGCAGGCACGTAGCCAAGGGTGGGGGAGGGGGGGGAGGGGTCTTATAGGGCCCGAGCCCCCCCCCCCCCCCAAAAAAAAAGAACAAAAAAACTTCCATTTTGCTTGGACCTCCTCCCCCCCTTACCCTCATACAGCATTTTGTCATGGCCGGCCTCCCCCCCCCCCCCCCTCCCTCGAAACAAAATCCTGGCTACGTGCCTCATATCGCGTATACATTTCCTCGCGCTATGTCCTATTTGTCATAATCCTCGATACTCCTGTTCTAGCCTCAAATAACAACCAGCTCTCTCTTGAATTATCATACCAATGTTCCATCCTTGTTTCCAAAGAAATGTCGACTGCCAATGTTGCTTCATGGAGTTTTCAAAGAGCTCTATTCAATATTTGCTCGGTGGAGGATGGAAGGGGAGGACTGACAATCGATTTGATGCCAAGGATCGATTAAACAACAACTCAAACTTTGCAGGAAGTTCGAGAAAGCGATGTTCCTTTAGTCGATGAATGTACAAAGATCGAACCAAGTCCTCTAGCTGTTATTGACAAACGTCGCACCGATAGCAGTTTTGTAAAGAGATGACTGGCGCTCGATTGGCTATAATATTACGTCGTGGCATGTTCAAATTTTTAGTTTCCCGGTGATCGAAGAATCTAATCAACGAGAGGTAAAACAAATCAAAACAAAACACGTTGTATTTGTTCGCTTGAACGGTTTCGATCGCCAGCTTGTGATTTCCGGCTGCTGAATTTCGACCGTTTATCTCCGTCCCCGTTATGATTACCGCTTTGAAACAGGCCGACTTCAAGCATGTTTTGTGAAGACAACACGCTGAAATTAGTGTGTGTATGTGTGTTTGTGTGTGTGTGCGCGATTTTTTTGCGGTTTTATACGCCGTGACAGTTTTCGTTAAAACTAATCTCGTTTAATCATCCCTAATTGTATACCGAGTTTAAAAAAAAAAAAGAGATTACCGAATTCAACCAGCAACGGTCCCATAGACTTCTTGTCACAACCCGTATCGTATCGATCTACAAACAGCGTACATGGGAAACGTTTCCTAGCCGACGTCGGCTTAATAGCGATAGAAGAACGGTAACATGGCTTTGTTTTGTTTTTCTTTGTTTTGTTTTGTATTATGGTGGTGGTCGATATTCACGAAGTTCCGCAGTGAATTCCGTGGGTGCTTTGTGCACGAAAGTTTACAGCGAAGCTGTATATGACTCCCAGGTGGAATTTTTTTGTGTCCGTCGACAGAAAATGCAGGCGCGCGCCTTATCATTTATCATGTGGTTTTGGCACTTGTTTAAAAAAAAAAAAAAGCAAGTGTCAAAACCACGTGATAGATTATAAGGCGCGCGCGAATGATGATAAGCACGTAGCGCTCCCCGCATGCGTTTCTCGGTAAAGTTTGCGGTTGCATAAGCTGCCGCGGCAACGGCAGAGTACGAAGTGCGGAATGACGTCACTAGTACCGCTAACAATGCGCAGCACGTAGCGCTCCCCGCATGCGTTTCTCGGTAAATTTTGCGGTTGCATAAGCTGCCGCGGCAACGGCAGAGTACGAAGTGCGGAATGACGTCACTAGTACCGCTAACAATGCGAAGCACGTAGCGCTCCCCGCATGCGTTTCTCGGTAAATTTTGCGGTTGCATAAGCTGCCGCGGCAACGGCAGAGTACGAAGTGCGGAGTGACGTCACTAGTACCGCTAACAATGCGAAGCACGTAGCGCTCCCCGCATGCGTTTCGCGGTAAATTTTGCGGTTGCATAAGCTGCCGCGGCAACGGCAGAGTACGAAGTGCGGAATGACGTCACTAGTACCGCTAACAATGCGAAGCACGTAGCACTCCCCGCATGCGTTTCTCGGTAAATTTTGCGGTTGCATAAGCTGCCGCGGCAACGGCAGAGTACGAAGTGCGGAGTGACGTCACTAGTGCCGCTAACAATGCGAAGCACGTAGCGTTCCCCGCATGCGTTTCGCGGTAAATTTTGCGGTTGCATAAGCTGCCGCGGCAACGGCAGAGTACGAAGTGCGGATTGACGTCACTAGCACCGCTAACAATGCGAAGCACGTTGCGCTACTCGCACGCGTTTCCCGGTAAAGATTGGGGTTGCATAAGCTGCCGCGGCAACGGGCGCGTACAAAGTTTTTCATATATAAAAAAGGTTCGGCACAATACATTTAATTTTCTTTTGTCAATCATCAGGTGTAAACCCTTCTGCTGTTTACAGACATGAACTGCCGCTTGCGTCCCAAGCGACTTTCGGTCGCACCGTCTCTTTAAGCCTGTTGAGCGTGCTTATGTCACCAGTGCTCGAAAGCATAAATGCTATACGGACAACAAAGTTGGACTTTTGACGAAGGCGTTCGGCTGTACAATATTACATCTTGGAGGGGGAAATTTGTTTACAAGAATACTCGAAACATTGTCACAGATGTCGCACTCCTTCGTTCTTTTGGCGTTCACCTAAAGAATTGGTGGTAAAACCTTTCACGTACATTTCAAGCAGCGGTGTTAGGGTGGCCTTTCTTAATTTTTTTTTTATAAACCGGAAGTTCTCTGCGACGTCGAGGACTAGAGCACCACCTGGTGGCGTTTTCCATGAAACTATGTATAGTGCAGAGGGCAATCGTTGCAGGTGATTCCACAGTTTCGCCGTCCAACCACCTTCACAGCGTGGATTAGAACCTTATTAATTTAATAGACCCCTTTCAAAATGGTGCACCATCTAGTGGCTAATCCACCAATTATCGGGGTTCACCATTCTTTGGGCACATACACTGCGCGTGTCGCTGCCAATGGGAATATATTGCTGGTTTTGCTCAGCCGGAATTAAGGCGCCGTTTCGCTTAGACGGAATTTAGGTGCCATTTTTCGAGGTTACAGAAAGCGCCGGCTGCGCTCCATGGGACAGTTAATGCTGTCGCATTAAAAAATAATGTTCCAAAGCAGAGCGGAACCGGAGAAAAACCTCGACTTCGGCTTCTGGAAATGTCGTGCACAGCTTCTGCTGTGTCCTCTTCCTACACCATACAAAAGGCACGGTCTTCGCCGCAGACGTGATGACAAAAGTGTCTTCGGACGCGCTCCAAGCATGTTCTATTCATGTCTGCTTATTTTGAACATGTCTACAGATAGTTCTTGTATACTTCAAACCTGTCCGCACAGTATTCGTGTTTCAATCGTGTCTGGCAGACGTTTTTTGTATGCTTCGAGCATGCGTACACTCACCCCTTCATGCTCTGAACATGTCTACACACAGTTTTTCTGTGCTTAGAACATATCAGCAGACAGTGTTTTATGACCAACGTTACCGTCGCACAAGGAAGAGACACGCATCAAGCCGCGTCTGGAGACGCTTTTGTTTGATGTAGTAGCAGTGTGATTGCGGCTTTACTGTGAGCAGCAGCGCGTCTCGGCTGTCAGCGCAGTTCATTCGGAGGACAAGGAACCAGGAAGAGTCGTTTTTGATTCTTTTACGGCCAGGTGAGCTCCGACCCCAAGATGAGCCTCTTCGTGCACCTCCGGGTCCTGGTGGCCCGGGCCGAGATCCTGGGCGGCACGGGGCAGCTGTTCCTCAAGACCGGCTCCACCATCAACCTCACGTGCGAGATCAGCCAGAGCCCCGAGCCGCCCGTGTTCGTGTTCTGGTACCACAACGACCGCATGATCAACTACGACGAGACGGCCAAGAGCGAGATCCTGGTGCGCAAGGCCGGCCGCAACGCCGCCGTGTCGCGCCTCGTCATCCACGACGCCATGCCGGCGGACTCTGGCAACTACACGTGCGGCCCGTCCAACGCAGACGCCACCAGCGTCGCCATCTTCGTGCTCAACGGTACGTGTGCGTCCGCAGTGGTGATGATGCAATGGACGGTTTTCTGGTCAATGCCGGTATGCGGAGGGCATGTCGTCTGCTTTTGCCGTGGTTGTGGTGACGTCAGAAAGACGCCGAGCTTTGGCTTTGATTAGAGGATAGTGAGTATTCCTCAAAGCAAGCTGTCTTGCGGTCTACCTTCTATCCTTCATTCAGAACCAATCAAAGCTCGGCGTCTTTCTGACGTTACCACAATTTCGGCAAAAGAAGCAGACGAACTTGTGCTCCGAATATGTCCCGGCGGTTAACTCACCGCTAAACGGATTTTGAGGTCACGAGACCGGCCCCGTGGGGAAAAGAAACTCAAAACACCCAGCGTTCCAGCCTAATGGCTGCCGCAAGTCCGTCCTCGCTTCGAACATTTGAGTCCGATTTTGCGAACAGAAAAATGTAGAAGAGGCTTGGAATGCAAGCGAAATGAACCGCATTCGTGTACTTTAGCAGCGGCATGTAAAGTTATTTCTGGGAAAGGCCGTGTCAATCGATAATTTAAAAAAAATAACAGGAAATTAAGGCTTGCGTCTGCTGAGCGAAATCGGCTGGAACGCTAGCTACTTTTTCCTCACAGAGCCGGTCACGTGAACCCAAAATTTATTCCACGGGTGAGTCAAATGCCGGGATAAATACCCACATTGGCTCAGTGAACGGGCCCAAGGGCCCAATTTTGGTCACAATCCGAGAGGGAATTTAATCGGTCTTTCACATTCCCTTCCACAATCACCGATAAATTGTAGACTGACGTCAGAAACGCGATTGGTCGATAGCCGTCTTTCCAGCGCATATCGACCGGGCGAAACATTTCGGGCCACTGGGCTGTGGACGAACGCGCGGCGTCTGATATTCGGCCAAAGATCCCCACTGCGCATGATCGGAACGAGCCCCACAGCACAGAGGACAAAAATGACAATTCCCGGAAGGCGAATGTTCGAATGGTCTATCCAAGGCACGGGTGCACCTGATAATAGACATCGACAGGATCAAAACGGCCAGAGAAATATTTCAGTTTTCCCACCCCCAGGACGAGCTTCGATAGTGCTTCGGCGCCTTGTGTCCCTCGAGCGTGCACGCGCAGTTATGGAGGAAGGTAACGTGCGCATGCACTCGGCCAAACATCGGAAAGAGTCACCCTACCATTCTCATCTTCTCAGTGACTGTACGCAACTCCACCGCCCTATTGGTGACGTGAGCGATCGAAAGCGTCGCTGTGGTCGGCCTGCCACCACTGCCTGCCGCGATTGGCCGAATGCTGACTATATGACGTCAGCAAAAGGTTTATCATTGACGGAAATAAGACTAATCTGAGAACTTCAATTTTGACGGGGCTTGCAGCGTTGGTTTTAGAGCGCAATGAATTCCAGCTTCCGCCTTACGAATTACAAACACCATCGAACTTCTTGTTCGCAAGGTAATGACGTCACGAGAGGGAACCACGGGAGGGCGCCACCAAAACACCTTATATTAATAGATGGCGGGCAGTACTTTCAAGATGGCGGCAGGAACGGGGATAGGTTCTCTTGGATTTCCTTTGCGCCTGCTCGCTGACGCTGGTGAGTGCACTGGCACTGAAATTAATTTATTTAGCTACAAAGACGAAGCAGTCAGGGCAGGAACACATATCACAGGGGATGGAGATGAAGACGTGCATCAAGAAGTGGGCACGTTGACTTTTAGGAGTTGCGTAGGGGACCAAACTAAATTTCTAAGTTAACAACCTCGCTTTTTTTTTAATCACCATTCCAGAACATGCCGATCAGAGACACGTGGTGACAGCAGCACCAATGTCGCTCGTCCCTGCCATCATCTTTGTCGCCGTCCCGTTTTCTTCGTTTCTTCCTTCGTCCGCGTGAGGACGACCGGCGGGCTGGAGTTGCGAATAGGTGTCCATGTTTGCTTTACTACAATGATGTCTTGCATCTCGCCACCCCTTGTGTCACGCCTGTATAGGCCCTCAGGTTTGAAGAAAACGTAATGACGATGATGTTGCAGGCGAGAAGCCGGCCGCCATTCAGCACGACGCCACGGCCACGTCGACGGCGCACCGCTTCGTCATGACGTCGGCCTCCGACGCCGTGGCCATCCTCGCGGTCGTCCTCGTCCTCAGGGCTCTGTTCGGCCACAGGTGATGAAAGCTGGCGTCGAGCGGTCGGTTCGCACAACCTGCCCGGACAGTCTGACCACGGGAACAGTGTCCCTGACATTCCGATGGAAGCCTGGGACGCCGCACACCGTGATCCGTGAACTCGCGCGGAGTGAACGACCGCCTCGCAAGGAGGAGCTCAACTTCTGGTCAAGGAGAGCGGGGGATTGTGAAGCTGAAGCCTATGTTGCTTAGATTACTAGGCGGCCATGACGTAGACACGTTGCGAGGGTACTAGGATTTTCGACAGGACCCGTCGAGCTAAGGCTTATCGGGTCTCTAAACAGCGTTTCCTTTTTTTTCGTTTTCTTTTTTGTATGAGAGCTTCGTTCTACCAGAGCAACAAGCAGCAAACACTGATCGCAAACATGTACATTTTTTTAAAGTTTAGTGAGCGTCATTATTCGGCAACATATGAAGATGTTTTGGAGATAGACGCTACCATCAAATGGTGTCTCTGGGCACCAAAGAAGCTAGTACCGCCTCATTGGTCTTAGTTAGACAGACACGTACAGACTTGGCCGCCCATCTCACTCGTATCATCAGCGTATACAGGTGAGTTCAAGAAGTGTCTCGCCATAATACTCCAAAAAAGTGGAACAAAATCCAACTAATCTACACGGGAGAAGGGAAATCACACCCATAAAAACTTGTGGACGTCAATTGTTTTTAACCTCTTTTTTCTAACTACCAAAAATGTGTTTATTCTTAAATTATAGCAATTGCCGTTAAAACAGATGTCTGTATTTTGTTGTCAAGCCCTTCTTACACTACTCCGTGTCACTAGTTGTGTGCAGTGCATGTGAAGGCAACTCCGGTCGAAGAAACAGCGAGCCCTAGGAAGGCGGGACGGGAAAGGAGGGCAATGTGGGGAGGGGGGAGAAGGGGAGAGCACTATAGGAACATTAGAGAGGGCAGGAGGTTTTCCTTCGCCTCACCAGCTTTCCTAGTAGCTGCGTTTTCTCCCCTCACCTGAATTGGCCTTCGCTTGTACTGCACATAGCTAGTGGCACTTAGTATAGACTGGCGTATCTCGATGGAGAAATTCGGTGTCAGCTGATAAAAACTGGTTCACTTTAAGTCGTGGTTGCTCACACACAAGAAAGCGCGCTTATACTATTCGGAAGGAGATCCAACCGTCGCGCCCCTATTGGCTAAATTGGGAACTACACCGATGGGGACAACAACGACAACATGGATTAAATGTTTGTGATTTGACGCAGCGTTCGGCCCACTTAGCCTAACGTTACGTGAGCGTTGAGCTAGGGCTCGTGTTCTTTCAGTGAAGCAGCACGCTGACGCAGCAAAAGAATTAGGCACGAAAATTTTTGCCCACGATCAAGTGAGAAAGATGAAGTAAAGAACTCTGGGGAAACAATCTAGACATCGCACCCCTTATAGTTGAATCTCCTTGCCGATAGCGACAAGAAACATTCGCCAACATCTCATGTACACTACATTGACACCTTTTTACGCTACAAAGGTAAAAGTGATCGTAAAAAAATGTTTGTGAGCAATCACTGCTGTGAAAGATTGTACAAAACTTCTTGAAGTTGGTTTTGTTTTTGCCGAAAGAAAATGACGGGTGTTTTTTGCTCATCTAGGAGAAGACGTTCACCATTTGTTCGTTGAAGATTGTATGCAAAAGCAGGCCTGCAATATCAGAATATGAGTTCATTCATTACAAAATATATGTTGCTCCTGTCAAGTTAAAAGAAAATATCATTTTACCACAACCCACATGGTCGACGACCACGTACATAAATATAAATCCGATAATATCTGAAAACTCTACTAAGAATTTTTTTTGTGGTTGATGCTTGTTGTTTGGGTTTCATTGGGAGAAAGAATTGCGTATTTGGCGAGGTGCTCCTTTTTAAAATACAGCTTTCATAAAGTAACAAAAGCAAACGTAAGCAATATATGGGCAATGGCCGACGAACATTAATAGTGTTTCCAACGGCTTGGTTACTTTATGCCAGATTTAGTTAGCCTTAGTAGGAGAATGTACATGTCGTTTCAGTCCACGATTTGCTTAACAGATCTCCAGTAATACCGAGAATATTTTTAAACAAAGGTAATATACTTCGTCAGGTGTGCAGCCCCCGCGTGTACAGCAGTTCTCAGCAGAACGCATCGGCCTTAACTTTCAAAACAAGGGCGATAGTTGTGTCCGCGCCCGGACTCTGTAACAAATCCAGATCTCGCTCTCATGCTCCGTCCTTCAGCGGTCTTCACCTGGTGACAGCATCGGATCTAGAGACGTTTACTGGCAACGTGTGCAACTAAGTTATCATCTCGATGTTCGATGTCTTCAAGATGCATCCCCTTTCAAGCTCGCCTGACAGTACGTGGCATAGAACACTGACACACTGCGAACTTATTTACTCTTACGTTATGGTACACGTTTCATGGTTCCAGACACACGTTGGTGGCACACTAGTGACATGTCAACATACATTGATGGTATAGTTGATTGTATGCGTATGTCATCAATATGCTGATGATATATGTATAGTGATGGCATGCGTTGATGATGTACATTTGTGATAAACACTAAAAACACGTCGATGAATAACATGTTAATATATGTCTGCCATCAGCATACGTTGGTGACAGAGAATATCCTGTCGACATACCTTGATGACATAAGTGGGTGGCATATTACATGTCATCAGCATGCCATCGACATACGTTTTTGACTTCGGACAGGTCATCAAGATCCTTGATGACATTGGATGGTGACATGCTACATAGGTCATCACCATCTCTCAACATAAGTTCATAACACACGTTGGTGGCATACTATGTCCTGAACATCCATTAATATGCGTTCATGTCATAAGTTATCGAAGTAAGTTCCACGCATTTAATCAAACATGCCCGAGAAGGAAACGTCACCGTGTATCTGTCGATAGACCTATTGTGTCTTATATATGCTAAAAAAAGCGCGTTCGATCAAATTAGGTGTCCTTCCGCGCACTTTTTCAAACTACACGCAGATAACAAATCAAAGCCGTCTACCCAAAACAATAGCAAAACGCGAAGCGCGAAAACAAAAATTCAATATCGTAATTTGCAATGAAACAGTTCCTCTGCGCATGACGCCTTTTTTTCTTTTCTTTTTTCTTTGGAAAAGGGGGAAGTTTGTCACAAGTCTAGCTCCTAGCGACTGACCTTCCCCGTGTAGCGAAAGGAAGTGAGCCCGTATGCATTTTCAGGGTGCAAATAACGGCGGATATTTGCCCTACCATAGCCTCATATACAGGGGGAGATCGTGCGCATTCGTCGCCACAACCGGCTGCAGAACTGGGAGCGACAAAACACGAGAGGAGGAGGTTACGAGGATGGTGGCGCCCAGATATCCGCAGAAATTTTCATATCATCTGCTCTGTTTCGTAGTACCTTGGTTTCTTTTTCTTTTGTTTCTTTAAAAAAAACGAAACCGTTTTATTTATTTCCTACAGCATATTTTTTGTAACTCTCAGCGCATTCTCAAACTCCCCTCGGAAAGAAGATAAACAGCCAATCGACTTTGTATCGTTTCTTCGTTCTACCGCGAAGTAAAAAAAAAAAAAAATGAGAGTGCTTCGTTTCGCGGCATTTTTTGTGGCGCTGCCTTCAAGATGTTTACATTTTCGCCTGCCACTCCTCCCCCCTCTTTTACTTCAAACAGGCTGTCTATTGTTCTAGCGCCAAAGGAGCGGACTTCCTTACCATATAAGAGGCTACGGCACTACCTAGAGCCACTAAATGAGCTACGCTTAGAGTATCGGCACACTGTTCCCGATATTGTTGCGGGCGTCGCCATCTTGGTGCTTGTGCAAAGCAGACGCAACTGCCGATCATAAGTGTTCAAAAGTGCGACTTCCTCAGCATTAGTTTAAGGTGTTAGGAAGCTCATGCAATATAGCTTTGCTCTGTCGCAAACAGTTTAAACACTTCTAGGGGAAAGAAAAGTTTTTAGTGATTTCAGACAAAGCTTCACATAACTGGCAACCATGATTTTAAGCCACAAGATGGGCAAGTGTCGTTACTTTGAAGCGTAGTTTATTTAGTGGCGCTAGCACTACCATGAGACGTCGAATGTAAATTTCAAAGCACGGATAATTCACGTAACGTTGAAACCCTTTTAGCATTCATTCGTTGTATACTGCCAAAGCAAAGATAAGAAAAAGATACTGTGAAGAATAGGCTCTTAAAATTGAAATTTCAGAAATACAAAAACTGGAAATGCGTGATATTCTAGCCAGTAGTACGGATATTGGCGTTTAAGGCGGATACTTGGCTCAGACGACGAATTGATTTTTTTTTCCTTTTATAAAAAGAAAACCAAAACTAGACTTATCACTTTGAAATCTGGGCTTTGCAACTGTTTGTTTGTTGCATTTGCTCTCGCGCATCTCACCAAGCATGCTCGAAGTTGTTTCTATTGAACTCCGAACTTTAGTTCGACATCTCACACTTCACGCACGTTGCCCTAACTGAGTACTTGTTGAAGAGAAGTGCACCTCGGAGCTTAATATCACTTACTAAACGTTTTTGTTCACTATTTCGAGTCGCGCACAGCTCTGGGACCTTCTAATTTTGTTTAAATCAGATGATTATTTGAACCGTATTTTTTCATACTTATTTTCCGAAACAACAACAAAAAAAAAGCTTTACCGAATTTAAAGAGTTATTTTTGTCAAGTAAGAAAACATTAGTTGCGCTATTTTGATTTTAAATGAAGTTGAAAGAAATCGGGTCATTCGAACGGTAGTGACATGACATTCGTAAAAATATGATGCATGTAAAACCAAAGGTATAAACCTAAAACACCAAGATGAATGCGTCAATGCACACGGCGTGCTTTCCACGCAGCCTTTTGTAAAAAAATGGCGACGCAGCAAACTGCAACTAGACTGTTCAGACGCCATGTTTTCTCAGTACTCGTAAGAATCGCGCGACTATAACATTTAAAAAAAAAATCATACGTTCTTTTATACTAGTAGCAAGCGCTATAAATGGCGATTTTATTCGGTGATATTTAGTGATACTCTATTATGAAGCTGACCTAATTTTCATGAAGCGCACATGACTCAAAAGCAAAACTGCTCACTCGTCAGCACATCGCGACCTGTAGCGTAATCATTTCGTCGTCATGCATTATCGGGTTTCCAGAAAACTTGCTTCGGGGCTCACCTACTTGTTTTTTATTCCCGCTAGGTATGTTGATTGTCGCTGATAACCGCCTCTAGTTTTTAAAATGCCTCACTCTATCTATCCTCCCCCCCCCCCCCCCAACAGTCATTTCTTTTAAATGCGCCTTGCTGTTCCACGTCTCCAGAAGTGACGCAGGGCCACTGCATCGAACAAACCGCGGACTTTCAGTGGTACTTTGTGCATGGCGTATTGTGTTTCGGCCTTGCAGCCCGGAACAAGAGTGTACTAAAAGAGGGGAAGCGTTGCGGCTTCTGACCGAGCTGCGATACTTACCGGGGGTCGTTCGGCTGGATATGCGTGAAAAACAAAATGGCGTCGCTGTCGTCGATTTGTATGGGGGATCCGTTACATCATTTTATAACGTTGCGCTTGGTATTAGTTAAATTTCATAATAAGTAGTTGCAAAAAAAAACTGCTTAGCTCAACGATAATCTGACACATCAGTCGCACGTTAGAACTGTGATAAAAGACAGAGCCGTTTGTTTGCAACTCCGAGGAACGTGACACCACTCAGCCGAAAAGACGTCTAGGAGAAAAGCGATGAGCTACCACCTACCCAAGTGTGCAGCTCAAATGTGAAACAAAGGAAAGGTGGCCCACTAGAACAATTTAACTTTGCGATAACAGAATACGGCGTCTTATCGTACCCAAAGACGACCAAGGTTTGTTATGTTTCTGTAAGACAAAACGGCGGAGGCTTTGGATTTCGTGCCTGTAACGTCCACGGCCGTAGTTGCTAGAATTTCTAAATATACTTTAACAAAAATGAGAGCCTAACTCATCCGGTATAAACAGCTTTAAAAAAGTTACCATATTCAGTTACTTCAATAAAGTGGCCCTCTGTGCACCGCTCAGCGGTGATTTGGCTAATGTAATCGAGGTAATTCCACTTTGTACTATATAACGCTTCCACGCCAAGGGGCCCTGCGAGCTATTCGTGTTCTCAACACTCCCTCTATTTTAGTACACCCCAGCGGGACAGTGAGATGCGGACAGAACGGAAATCGTGAGGGGGATGTACGGCATACCGAGTTGTTACAATCATTTTAGCAGGAAGGATTTCATCTACCGGGTACGTGGTAAACATGGTGTTCGTTGTAGCATCACTCATTGAAAAACGTGCAGGGTCATCCTGTCTGAACATATATGACGTTGCAGACTATTTCATGTTGACGGTGCTTAAGTCGTTTGTATATATACATACATATATATAACTGCTCAGTTTAATCTGTAATAAAATCGAACACAATTTGACTCCCCTGTCTCTTTGATAAATAAACATATCGATTGCTCATTAAACGAGCTTCCTCATTAATTTTTTTTTTAATGTGGAATGTTTGATGAACATTTCAGAAGGTATATAGGTTGTTCTACCATCTGATCTGATTCGACAAGCAAGTTCATCTGCTTTTCGCACAGCGGATACAGTGACGTCAACACGGCTAGCTTTGATTGGAAGGTCGTGGGGAGTTGCTTTTGCCTCTAACCATTCTATTCCTCCAATCGAAGCAGCAAGATTGCCATCTCCACCTCGCCCAGAGGGAGCGCGCGTCAAACACATGAGCCAAACCCTGCATATCCGCGGATTGC